TCAAGACTAAAATGGCAATTGAAGAATGTTTTCAGATGTTCCTATATCTGTCACTGCTCACGGAGGGCACTGCAACTTTGGATGTGAGTGGAGGTTACGGAGGAAGCGTGGAGTCAGAGGAAGGCTTAGTCTTCCCTGAGTGGTTGGGTACTATTTGGCTTTAGAATACACGTATCGCCAGCTGTCTGTAAAGAGCCGAGCATGCTTTGATCTCCCTCTGTGTTCTGAAGGACTGAGCAGTAGGGATGTGGTGATGGAGGTTACGTCTAGGCATGGAAGCCTCCTGACTTTCAGACAATAATTCTGCAAGCCTCTTTGGGAGAAGTTCCTCCAACCCTGTGGGGAGTTCCTTAACTCTCCAACAAGGATCAAAGAGAACAAGGAAGAAACAAGAGTTGCAGGGAACAATACCTGCATGCCTTCCTGTCCAGATATTCCAATCCCAATATCAGCAGCTTGAATCATGCTTACGTCATTTGCTCCATCACCTGAAAGAAGAGCGGGCACGAGGCGTCTTTATTCCTGGTCCAACTGCTGCGTGATAATGAGAAGGGTTTCACAGAGTGGCTCTGAAGTGTCCCCATTTGTACATAATTGAATCCCTTTAATGTGCCTCTGAATAGTCCTATAGGAGAAGCCATTGCTACAGTATTTGGCCTGAGAGATATCTTTTCTTCCTTGGACAAGAAGCCCTTCTTTTTCTTTGTCATTCAACAAATATTGCATCTTTTTTTCTAGGCACAATATTAGGTATTGGGGCTACAACGGTGAGTGAATGAGACATGGGTAGTGCTTCACAGTTTACAAAAAGACCTCCACAAATGTTACAACTGACTTTACTGATGAGCAAATGGAGAATGTGAGCGATGTAGAGACTTGGCAAGGGTCATCCAGCTAGTGATGGACCCAGGAGATTTGGAACTCAGATTTTCTGATTCCAGGGCTGGCATACCTTCCCTAACTCAGCATGAGTTAAAATACTGACTATATCGAGACACCCGGAATGTTTGGACGCTGAAGTATCAGAGATTGTCAATTGTGTCCAAGGACAGGGACAGTGTTCACTTTTGTTTCTGAAGATAGGAAAATGGGGTTGACTAATTTTTTTGGTTGAGGCACCTTTAGTCACACTGAGTTCCTATTCACGAAACTAAGTTGTTTCAGGAAATTGGAGGTGTGGGCATGGAAATACATATATACACACAGCCTCCTTTTATACCAGCCCTGCCAAATAGATTTTCCTGTGATGATGAAAATGTCCTATATCTTTACCATTCATTACAGAAACTACTAGCTCCACGTGACTATTAAAATGCGGCTGGTGAAATTCTATTTCAATGTAATTAATTTTAAATTTAAATAGCCACGTGCAGCCAGGTGGCAGCCATTTTGGACAGCACAGATCTGTACAGTGAGGCCTCCTTCACAAGCCTGGCTTTTCCCAGTGCCTTTTCTTTCAGACTAGAGTTTAGCAAACTTTTTCTGTAAAGGGCCAGATAGTAAATATTTTAGGCTTTGTGGGCCAAGAAGCAAAACTGAACAACTGTTCTTGCTGGGAGGCAAATAGTCTTTTACACATTTTGCATTTAAAAACATCAAAACCATTCTTAGCATGCCTACAAAAACATGCAGTGGGCTGGATTTAGCCTGCGGGCTGTGGTTTGTAGACTGCATTGCCCTCATTCTCCTCCTGGCCTCACCCCTTTTTCCAGGAGTTTCTTTTAATAATCTGCAATTAAATTTATAGTAGACATCATAGAGAATATGGCATTGGGGGAGAGAATTTTCTACCCCTAATTATTTGGCAATAAAATGGTTGATCTTAAATTTTGTCATTATAAGTAGCCATTGTTCTTGTAGTGATGATGTTTTTCTTGGTAGTGTAACCATGCATAATTTTAATCTTCCGCATGGCAGGACAAATCTAACCTTTAACCTCTTCTGTTAGCAAGCCAGTGGAAGTAGAGGGTGGAATCCTGCTATTTCTCGCCCTGCTGGTTGTGTTTCTGCTGCTATGGGGGTGAAGCCAATCTCTTACCTCAGTCCTGGGCTATTGCCTTGTGTGTCTGAAGTTTTGAGGAAGATAATTCAGAGAATAAAATTAGGATTCTAAAGCTCTGCTCCCTATATTCTATTCCCTCTTTTTTTTGGACCACTTTTACCTGAAGACCAGGAGAATAAACAATGTATGAGAGGCCTCTTATTTGAAATACAATGGAAAGAAAATCTCTTCTCATGTCTGTGTAGGAGGAAGAGAACCTGGGACCATCTGCAAGAATGGCCCTCCATGAGTGCAATATTGACCGTGTGTTTGGTGAGTGCCGGGCATGGCAGGAAATGGTGAATAAGACTGTCATTGTCCCTCTACTCGAGGAGCTCATAGTCTACCAAGCAGGCCTTCACAGAAAGCAAAACAGTGCTTTAGAGCCCTGAGGGCTGGGTGCCGCAGGAGCTCCCAGAGGAAAGGAAGCTTAGGTGGGATTGGAAGGAAGAGCGTTTCACAGAGGAAACAGGTTTGGAAGTGAGAGAGACAGGACAAGGCTTGTGGAGAATGGTAAGCAATTCGAACGTGGAGTGCTGGGTGTGGAGAGAGGAAGGCGGCTGCGGCGAGAAAGATGGCTGAAGGGTTAATGGAGAAGAGGTCGTGAAGGTTCTTGTAAACCAGGTTTGGTTGTTGCTGGAAGGTTTGAAGTAAGTACAGTTTTTATTTCTCTGCCTCAACTGTGATTAATTTAGTCTCTTAGGAGGAATTCTTCATCCACCAACAAGCCAGCATTTATTGAGGGTAGGCTTCGTGCGGGGCCTTGTATTTAGGACTGAACGTACAAAATTAAATACGGGACAGACCTAACTGTTAAAATCTCCCCACCAGCCAGCAATACTTAGCAGAACATCAAATCCACAAACACCTGAGGTTCACAGTACTGTGCCATGTGTTAAGTATTGAAGGGAAAATAGTCTGCATTCCCAGAATTGAGTTGGCCTGAGTGTGTACTGTTGTGCTCCCTGGATGTTCTGAATTTGAGGCCCCTATTGACTTTGACCTCCAGCCAAGTCCTGATTTTTCCTGAGCTGACCTGCTAATGCTGAGAACTTTGATTCACTCTCCCACTCTACTTAGCCTCTGCTTCATTTCCTGGCTGCCACAGCTTGATTGTCACTTTGAACTTTCTCCCTCTAAGACAATGACTCTCAGCCTGAGCATCTTGACTTTGATACCTGACCTCCCACCTCTGGCCTGGTCAGATCAGCCTTGCCAAGCTGCCACCCACACTCAGCATGACAGGTACCTATGGAAAGGGTCATGACGCTCAACTTGTCTCGCACCAGCTTGACTACCATACTCTTCTGGAGTGGGGTGGAGCGGCAGCACAGGACAGACCGACAATACTGAGTCAACTCCAGAAATTTCTCCTCCAGCTTTCCCTGGAAAATGGCATTCAATGTCTTCCCATCGATGACCAATCCAATGTCTGGAACTGCAGCTCCTGAGGTGGGGGGTGGTGTCTGAGAAGGTAGGCGGAACCCAAAGAGCTTGTGGTCCGGCTTCCGCACTTCATGAAATTGCTTTACCTCTTCCAAAGCACAGTTGAGGATGGATTCACAGGTTTCCTGTAGTCAGAATAATAAACGCAGTATTGGTAAGTAACATTGGAAATGTAGGTTAAAAATGTCACTTTATCCTTTAGCGAAATAGTTATAAAACTCTACCACCACAGAGATTACTACGGAACCATCCTCTGAATTTTACACTTCCTTGCAATATATCAAACAGCATCAAAGCAATATCAATTTGGAACCAAATTAATGGCCAACATAGGAGAGACTGCTTGGGAATGGGAGTGAAACAGCTCAGCAAGATGGGGACTGATACAGGGATGGTATAAGATAATAAATAACACTGATATGATGGTAACATAACGACAAGATGTCATACAGTATGGTATTTTCTATTTCTCACAAGCCATTTCAGTTTTCCTTTGTTCCTCAGAACATCCCTTTGTGGTAGGTACGGTGGGCATTACTGACTTTCGTCTAGAGATGAGCACATTGAAACAGTGCAATCATCAGTAACTTGCCCCCATGACTTAGTAGTGGAGGCAGATCATTACTCCCTAAACTGTGGCTTCTTAGTTGAAAAAAAAATTGACTGCGTGTTTATCCGTTGTTATGAATGTGTTAGTTAGATTGGTTAAAACTGACCATGGATGTGAAAATTTTATTGATTTAAAGAAACTTCTTTGAAATCAATAGATTCTTTTCTTCTATTTACCTTGAAAACAGTGAAGAAGCTACTTGCTCTTATGAATTCTCCTCCATTACTTTTTATTTATTAATTTAATTTTTTTTTTTAAAGATTTTATTTTTTTCCTTTTTCTCCCCAAAGCCCCCCAGTACATAGTTGTATATTCTTCGTTGTGGGTCCTTCTAGTTGTGGCATGTGGGACGCTGCCTCAGCGTGGCCTGATGAGCAGTGCCATGTCCGCGCCCAGGATTCGAACCAGTGAAACACTGGGCCGCCTGCAGCGGAGCGCGCAAACCCAACCACTCGGCCACGGGGCCAGCCCCTATTAATTTAATTTTTAATTGAAGTAACTGGTTTATAACATTATATAAATTTCAGGTGTAAATCATTATATTTCAATTTCTGTGTCGACTACGTCATATTCACCACTCAAATTCTAACACCATTCTTTACTTTTGATTACATCAGAGATAAAGTCAGATTTGGGTTCTAAATACATCCTTCATACCTGTTTAATGTCTGTAACCATCACTTTTTTTTTTTTTTAAAGATTTTTATTTATTTATTTATTTATTTTTTTTTTATTTTTTTTTTCTCCCCAAAGCCCCCCAGTACATAGTTGTATATTCTTCATTGTGGGTCCTAGTTGTGGCATGTGGGACGCTGCCTCAGCGTGGCCTGATGAGCAGTGCCATGTCCGCGCCCAGGATTCGAACCAACGAAACACTGGGCCGCCTGCAGTGGAGAGCGCGAACTTAACCACTCGGCCACGGGGCCAGCCCCACCATCACTTTTTAATAAGGAGAGAGAAAAATTGTGGCAGTCAACTGTATTACCAGTTTTAATAGCATTGTTTTGTTCACATGATCTTTATTCAGTGGTGTTCTTTTATCAATGGCAGGGGATGATGATTTTTCATTTACTGTAGTGCCAAAAATTTCTTCTAAAAATAAATTTAAAATGTTCAAATTGAGTCAATTTAAATGAACCCATTAAATGAAAAACAGGTAATATGTGGATCTTGGCAAAAATTGTGAAGGTTGTTCTGAAATGACGGGTTTGGGGACCATTGATCTAGAAGTTTCTGAGACTGTTTGGAATAATTTCTTTTGGAGCGAGCAGGACCACAGTTCGTGTAGGCAATAAGAGGTGCACAGAACCTAGAGGGGCCACAGGAAGTGGTTCCAGGAGCAGGTGGTTGTACCTGAAGCACCTATCTGGGAAAGTGACCAGGATGGTCCTTGCTGGAAGTTGGGGTTGGCACAAATTATATACATTCCTCAGACACATGACTGCAACAAGTCATTGGCGATGTAAGCTTCAAGATGAAATCTCTGATTTTACTTATTTCAAATTTTCCATGTAATAATCACAATAGGTACCATTCATTTAATATTTAATATGTCAGGTACTGTGGTAGGCAACCTCTAAGATGACTCTCAAGGATCTCCACCTCCTGGTATTCATGCCATTGTGGAATCTCCTCCCCTTGAGTGGGCTACAACTAGTGACTCCTTCCTAATGAGAGTTCTGTGAGAGAGAGGATTCTGAGAGGGAATTCTGTGAAAATGATGGGATGTCACTTTCCGGGTTAATTTACAAAAAGACTGTGGCTACGATTTGGTGCTCTTTCTCACCCTCTTGGATGGCTTGCCCTGGGGAAAACCAGCTGCCATGTTGTGAAAGCAGCTCCGTGGAGAGGCCCACAGGGCGAGGAACCGAGGCCTGCCAACAATCACGTCTGTGAGCTTGGAAGAAGGACTCCTCTCCATCCTCAAATGACCCATCCAGTTGAGCCTTTAGATGAGCCCACGACCTTGACTGACAGCTTGACTACAACCTCAGGACAGACTTTGAACCAGAGGTACCCGGCTAAGCCACTCCTGGACTCCTAACCCACAGAAATTGTGTGATAACAAAAATCTGCTATTTTCAGCTGCTAAGTATTGGGGTAATTTGTTAATTAGTAGAAATATTGTGCTAATAAGTATTTTTCTTCTATGCTTTTATTTAATCCTCCCAATAGCCCCTGAAACAAATCTTTTTAATCCCTTTTTTACAGATGAGGAGACTAAAGTTCAGAAAGGTGTGGTATCTGGACCATAGTAAGCTTTCAATATATGTCATTAATAATACAACAATAGTTGCTATTCTTAGTTCCTGTCTAATACTGGAGTCCCTTCTAAAATTCCTTGACAGAGCAACACTTCCAGTGATGGGTTAGTAACTCTCTCATCTTACAGATGAGAACCCTGAGGTCGAGCCAGGTCCCATAACTTGCTTGTAACTTTAAGATACATAACAAAGAAACGGTAGTGCTAAATCAATTTATAATGAATTAGGCAGATTAAAACCCTTGGAGGAAATATCCATTGAATATGTAATTACATTAAACTGTGGTTTAAATAAATCTGAGATTTGGAATGGATTTCCCCAGTGTCTATCTTAACATATCTATGCAGCCACCACTTTTTCCCAGACAAGGGGATGAGAAAGACTAATATTACAGGTTTAGCAGACCCAGGGGTGGGGGCAGGGCCTAACCATCTCGGAGAGTCCCTGATAACTTTAAAAGAGTTGACAGTGACTTAACTCAACTGGAGTGTGGCCCACTGCTCCTTAGCAACTTTGGCTAATTAATTAACAAGCATCTTCAGCTCCCTACAGAAGAGCATTGCATTTCACAGAACCCAAAGAAGCCCACTCCATCCTCGGGCTGCCTGACTCAGGTTTGCCAAAGTCCTTCTGGAATCACCTGGAGTGAAATGATCATTGCAAGCGGGGCAGGCACACATCAATGGGGATCACAGGGATCAAGCACTCAAGCAAGCTGCAAATTACTTTCTTTCCTAAGCATAATATTAACACCAAAGATTTCCCTGAGATTAAGTTCATTTCGAGAATTCATCGGGGTTTAATCTAATCATAGCGCAATCTGTGCACCTGACAGGAAAGTAATGATTTTTCCAATTTATCTGAGGGCCTAAGGCACTTTTCTCAGTATACTCTACCTTTGGTGGTGGTGGTTTTTTTTTTTTTAATCTGTATATGTGGATTCTTCATGGAATAAAAGCCAAATTTAAACCTCCCAAACTTCTGTGCTGGGTCCAGATCAGCCTCAGGCAAAACGGAAAGAGATTCCACCATGTTCCCTGCCTCTTTTGCTGTGCCATTCTTTCCCTTTCCCACCTTCCCCCCTCTTCTCCATCCTTTTCCGCACGGCAGGCCCTAGGTCTCCAGGTGCCCTCTACCCACCAGCCCTGCAACGCAGTGCTGTCCTGTTCCCTTTTGATAGCATACATCGCAATGCCTGCTTCCCATATTCATCAGCCAAGAAGATAGTGGAACCTGACCTTCTGGAATTAACATTGTGAAAATAGATTTTTCCTCTTAAATGTAAAATTGTGTTACATCCTTGAATATACACAGCCCTCTCTTGAAACCTCTCTCCCTGCCATCCACAACCTATTTGCGTTGAAAATTGCAGTTTTAGGACTTTGTTTTTCTTTCTCTCCCTCACCCCATCAAAACATACTGGTCTCATATATCATTCCCTCCAGGTTTTAGTCCACGGCAAACCAGTTTGATACACAAATGAGAGCTGAAATTTTAAACTCAGACTATCAATGGATGAGTTAATCCAAAGTATAAGAATGCACATAGCATTGGCCTGGGAGGAGAGCAGCTTTCCAGACTTAGTTTTTCTATCAGAAACTACCAGGCTGACCTTGGGCAGGTGGTGGCCCAGGTGGACTTCATTTCCTCATCTGTAGAATGGGGAGAGTGGGTCAAGGGTGGAATTTGGGAGAGGGGAATCTTTCTAATACATACTGCTGGAGGTAATATAAATAGGCTGGTCAACCATGTGTGGGGATGAGGCAGGAGATGTTGGGCTGGATGACTTCCAGGGCCCTGTGGGCTCTAAGATTTGGAGGTAGGGGTGCTTCCCCTGTGTACCCAAATCCCACCCCTAAGCCTGTCTCCTGTTGGCTTGGCACTTAAATGTCTGAGCCGTACTTAGGCCTCACCTGACTCTCCGTGTTAATGGAGTAAACGGTGTCGGTCTGATCTAGCAGTCTGCAGGAATAGGCGATATTGACCGCTGTCTCCTGTTTATCTCCAGTCAAGACCCAGAGCTGGATCCCAGCCTCCCGCAGAGCAGCGATTGTGTCTGGAACGCCTTCCTGCAGCCGGTCTTCGATCCCAGTGGCACCTGGAGTGATCAAAGATACCAGAGCTCATATTTATGGTGAAAAACTAGCTGCTTAGTTTCCCCAGAGCCCTATCAAGCCAGGCAATGATTATTAAATGTCTTCCACATTCTAGGCTGTGCTAAGTACCCAGGATACAGCAGTGAAATAGACAGACCTAGTCCCTACCCTCTTGAAGCTCAAAGGCCTGTTGAATAAAGATTGATAACTGAGCTATATGAGGAGAGAAGCCCAGGGTGCCACGCAAACTTTTATCAGAGACCCAAACTTCATCTGGACGGTCAAGGAAGGCCTTCTGAGGAAGTGTCATTGAAGCTCAAACCTGGAAGATAAAGTCAAGAGACGGGGACGGAGGAGAATTCCAGGTGGAGGGATCAGTGTGTGTGAAGCCCAACGGTCAGCGTGGAAGACGACTCAGCGGGGTGAGAGGTGAGATCAGGAAGGGAGGTAAGGGGCAGGAGCATGCAGAGCCTGTCAGGGCATCGAGGGATTCAGAATTCATTTAGTAGCAAAGAAAGCTCCAGCAGGGAGTAAAGCTAGAGAGCGACAGGACCAGTTTTGAGTTTTAAGATCATTCTGGAGAACAGATTGGAGATTGGAGGCAGCAGGAGGAGATTCAGGGCTAACAGTGAGTTGGAGGCTGAGCAGGAGTGCAGAGGAGAGCTGACCGTGGCCAGGACCCGCACAGTGGCCATCGGAGCACAGAGAAGTGGAGAGACTGAAATCTTTGCTCTGCAACTGCTCACAGCAGAATTAACCGAGACTCAAGTTTTTGATAATATTCTTGGAGAGAATTAAATATGCAGATTCCATAATTTCTGAATGATCTCAAGCTTTACACCAACCCTGATGAATATATACCCAAATATTGAATAGTTGCTAAGCGATTAAGCCAAAATAAATCTGCATTTAAATTGAGATTCATTTCAGAGCACAGACTAATGGCTGCCCATTTCACTCTGGGCAGGAGCAAGGCAGTTCATTTCTTTTAATAATCCCAAGTGACAATAGGTTGGCAAAGCAGTTACATTGGATGCATATTGAAAAGATCATTTCATTTTGTGGGACCCAGCGTGAATGCAATGCAGCTTTTACTGGCACGGCAGTTTCCTAGTGGTAGGATGAAATCTCTTCCTAGCCCAGTCCTCTCCTTCTGCAGCCAACTTGAGGGAAGAAAACTAACCTCTCTACCCTGAAATGTGCCTGTTTTGTATTTCAGACCCAAATGCACAGGAGAACAACCCCGTGAAAAGTGAAGGCTCGATCCTCACTTTTCCCTCCAAGGCTTAGCCTGGAAGGGGAGACTCTGAAGCTGATCTACATTACAGGGAGGCAGAGCGAAGGAGAGGAGAGGAAAAACACATTTATTTGTGTGAAAGAGAAAATGAAACAGGAGGGTTGTGAGGGCCTTTCCCAGCCAGGGAAGCCGACAGGTCCTGACAAGTGTGCTCTCTTTCATGCAGAACCAGCTGAGGAGCACTTCCAGCCCCTGAGCCCAAGGTGCTCCCCTGAAACAAAAGAAACCTGGGGGTGGGGTGGGGGGGGCAAGAAGGGGGTCAAGTGCCATAACGGGGTGACACTCCCGTGGCCTTGTATGGTGGATAGAAGCTCTGGCTTCTGTTGAAACGAGTTCTTGCAGCCAGCTTTCCAGGGGGCCTTGTGAGGCAGTAGGCAGAGGCCCTGCAGTCAGACACAGGAAACTAAAGGCTGAAGGAGGGGGGAGCAAAGCTCTTGCCCCATGCTTGCCGCCCGTCCTACCAAGTCTTGCTGCCACCTTTTCTGTGTAAAGGCATCACTGTCTTCTTACAGCGTTCCTGGCACTGTCCTCTGGCACCCTGGCTGGCTGAGAGCTTGGACTAGTGCGATGTATCCAGAGGAGAAGCTAAGGCTCAGAGGGATGTGGGAGTGTGTCCCTGGGCCCACAGCAAGGTCTCGATAGGGCCCAGATTTGGCCCTCGTCCTCAGTCAGCAATGCCTCCCAAGATGAAAGAAGGCTTGGCCCTATGGCCAGTGTGTGCATGGTGTTCGGACACTGTCTTTCCTAGATCTTGTTCCCGAGCTGTGAGGAGATTAATCCTGATAAATAAAGCTCCCCTCTTCTTCCTTGGCAATGCTTTTCCTCCAAAAGAAATACAATGCTGTCTCTTAATTGGTCTCCATGCTTTTCATCTTTCCCCAAGCATATCACTCTAACTTCCACACAGCAGCCAGAGGAATCTCAGGAAAGCACAAATTTGCCCTGCTTTTACTCCCTTCCCCCCTCCAAACTTTCAGCATCTGACCTACGTGGCCCTTGGTAATCTGGGTCCTGCTGACCTCGTTCACCTCATGTCATTTCTTCCCCACACTCCGTGGTCCAGCTATCTCAGCCCTCTGAGTTTCCAGGCTTTCTCACCTCCAGGCCTTCGTTCGGGCCCTTCTCTCTGCCTGGAACACTCTCCCCCTTTGCCTGACCAGCTCCTCTTCTCTGTGCACCCTCCTTGGCCCTAGCGAGGTCGGCATTTCTACTTTGTGCTTCTATCCCACCAGGTACATCTTCCCGCCCTCATCACGCTCTGTTGAAATTACCTGTTTAATCTTCCAGATTCCTTGTTAACCTCTGAGCTCTAGGAGGTCTGGCTTGTGACACTCGCTCCCTGTTACAGCCCAATGCCTGGCATGCTCCTTGGCCCAGAGTAGGTGCTCAATAAACATTTGAATGACTAGAGGAGAAGCAGCCAAACTCCCAGGCTTTATCCAGCAGGGAGTGCAGGACTGCTCCTGGGGCATCCTCAGGAAGCTCTGTGTAGAGTCTGGGTTGGGTTTTGGCACATCCCTTTTGTGCCAAATACCTGGAAGGGCACCCCAGGGAAGGCTCCTAATTGAGACACATCTGTAATAGTGTCAGAATCAGGGCCAAGAACTCCCTTCCCACCTTGCAGCATTCCTTTTTTTCATTTAATCACGACTTATTTTTAGTTACCGAGTAAGGTGAGTTGATTCTCCAGATGCTCTGCCACCTTCATGAGAAGCTCGTCTCGGTTGTCGAGGGATGCCTCGGCCTCACACCGGATACTGGCCCATCGCCGGAAGTCCTCTTCACTTACGACCTATGGGACAGGAATAGGCTTGTTCCCAGCTCTGGGTGAATCCCTCCCCCTTCCCATGTGCTCGGTCTCGTATGGGCCTGTTTGAGCTTCGCTACACAATCAGATGGGGCTTTCTCCTCAATGATTTTTTTCCTTTGAGACATGAATCAATGAAGGATTGATCCTCATGTTCCATTATCACCAAGCATCTGTTGAGACCCTGCTATGCTCTGGGCACTGGAGGTATAACTGTGATCAAGACAGACAAGATCCCTGCAGGCCTGGGCTTACGTGCTAGTGGAGGGCGAGACACATCATCCAAGTAAATAATTTAAGAGAACAGATCATTTCAAAGAGTTCCATATGGAAAATGAAGAGGGTGATATGATGGAGTGTGCCTGGATAGACGGATAGCTGCGGGAAGAGGGGTATTTCATTTGGATCTTCAGGTATCTTAAACAACGGGACATGCAAGTTGAGATCTAGTGATGAGAAGGGTTCAGTCATGGGGAGGGGCAAGTGCAAAGGCCGTGAGGCATCGATGAACGTGGCTCTGTTTCTGTTTCTTGAATATACCAGTTGGCTGAAGGACGGAGAGCCAGGCAGAGAGGAGCCAGCAGTGAGGCTGGAAAGATAAGCAGTAGCTAGGTCCTGCATAGCCCTGTAGACTGCTCCACCCGCTACTGGAGGTGCCCAATAGCTGGAAGAATCTAACTAGAGGACACATCTTCCTCCCTTGGAGTCCCATAGCACTTTTAGAACCCTCTGCTGGCATCACATGCATACTGTCTCTTATAGCAATGAACGATTCTTTTGTCCACACACCAGATATTCCTTAATTTTCCCTCTGTGCCTGGTGCTATAGGGGAAACCAAGGGGACTCAGGTTGGTCTTTTGCTCTTGAAGAAGTCACAGTCTTATTAGAAGAGGTAAAATAAGTACAAATAATTTCAGTGGAAAATAGAAGGTGGCAAGGGTATAACCACAATTTATAGAGTAATAAGTGCTGACAACTGTCCCAGGCACTGTACATGTGTCACTTTAGTTAATCTCCATGACAACTGTATGAGGTAGAGAGCACTAGGACCATTTTACAGATAAGAAAATCCAAAACTCAGAGAGGTGAAGAAACTTGCCCAAGGTCACACAACAGAGAAGTGGTGAGATTGGGACTTGTATCCAGGTAGGGCTGGCTTTACAGTGGATGCTCTTAAACTGTATGTGGCACTAAGCACCATAAAAGAGATGAAGCTCTCTGGGGATTTCTGGAGGAGAAACCACTTCTAGCCATCTAGAAACATGTGCCCATCATAGCTCCCTTACCTGATTTTAGGGGCCTCATTAGATGCTCTGCTCCGGGATTCATAGCTCCCTTTGCCAGCCTCCCTGGCAGGGGCTGCAAAGCCAAAGACCTGCAGGGCCTGAGGTAGGTGATGTACATGACTATAGCTGGGCCAAGGGCAATGCAATAGGGAATGGTGGGGACTGTAACCAGCCACATAACACAGCAGAATATAACCCTTATTGAAGGGATCAGATGCCACATGGCTCTAGCTGTTTGCTGCTATTCAAGAATGGAGACTCAGTTTGCCAGACCCTCTAAGTTTTCAAGAGAAAGCAGAAATCTAGATTTTTATGTGATTACATAACATCTCCCAAATTTCAAATCTAGGCAAGTAATGCAAACTTCAAAAGGATACTTTGAAGGCAAAAGTATAACATCAAAAAATGATGTTATGAGTTATGGCTTATCAGTGACATATGTAACGAGAAGCAGAGAATAACAAAGCCACAGTGATATGGAACCTTACCATTCAGATTTCTGCCCCAGCAATATTGTCAAAGTCATGGGTCTTTGTGGTGAGTCAGAATAGCTAATTTTGAAAATATTAAAATAAGCAACATTAAAGGTCTTCCAAAAAGAAATAGAAAAGATGGAATCAGGGTTGAGGCTTTTCAGTTACTAAACGAGGAGTGCGTTCTCACCTTCTTGGCGATGCACAGGGTTCGAAGGCCATCTCTTGCATACAAGTCCAGATGCTTCTGGGTCCGGGCTCTGATTTTCCTCACCTTCTTTTCCACATCAGTGTCAGTCACTGTCAAATAGCCATTGTCCCCCATGAGGTCATGTACAAATGCTTAGGGATACCTACTCCTAACACTCTGGAATCTTTAGAGGAGGAACCACCTTACAGCCCACTTCAGAAACACAGGGGAGCTGTCAGGGTGCCCTGGACGGTGATGACTCCAGGAGTCCTTAAATTGTCTGCTCTCTATATCTGATCATCAAAAGCCTGGCTGAGAAAAAGTCCTATTTAAGGAGGGTAGGTGGTCTCAAGTATTGTTCCCAATCACCTGTTTGCAATCAGAATCACCTGGGAACTTCAACAAACACAGATTCCCAGGTCCAGTTGAAGCCCGGCTGAATCAGGGGACCAGAGGTCTGGGTCTCTGCTGATACCTAAGGTATGTTCCACGTAGCCACTGTAGATCCGGGTGACCAACTGTTTGCTAGCTCTTAGACATACTATCCATTACCTTCTCTGTCATCGACTTCAGCCCTTACGTTAGGTTGGGTTCCAAGACAGCTACAGACCTGAATCTCATTGCTAAGTTCTTCACCACATTGGGTTTGCCCAGGTAGGCTTTCTTCCTATATAAGAAATGGTCTTAGAAAAATATTTTTTGCATTTCCTATAAATCTAGTGTGAAAAACATTTCACTGTGTTGCTCAAAGTCCCCTTTATGAAGTCCTATATGTTTCTTTTAGAAGAAATTTATCTTTTTCTCTTGACATTCTAGTACTTTTATCTATCAGATAAGAAGAGGTTTTCAGCCTGGGTTGGCGGGTA